GGGGGGCGTGGACCTCTTCTTGGCACAGCCCCTTGGAGAAGAAATGGACTAAGGACCCGTCTAAGCTGCCTAGCCATAAAGATGGGGGGAAGCACTCTCTGGATTCCCCTCGGTGCACAGTCTGTCCTCAGATGGCGTGGTCTGTGTCGTTGAAAACACGAGCGGACACTGGGATGAGCGAGACCTGAATATGAGTCTCAGCTCCGCCGCTTAGCAGCTAGCTGGCCTTGGGAAAGTTCCGAACCAATCCGGGCCTCTTTTTAAAAAACACTCTTAAGCAACAGAATGAGAGGGTTGCTATCAAGAATAATGCATGCCCAGGGCCTGCGCCACCACTGCCGCTGGCACACCATGCAGGGCTCCCCTGCAGTCCTTTCTCTGAATGGATCCCTCTCCACTGAAGGGAGGACAGGCCAGATGCCAGCAGGCCCCGCTCTGGTCTCACCCGGTGGAGGGAGCCCCATGGGCTTCCAACACCTGACTGCTGTCCCGCAGAACATGTGCTGTGATGGCTGTTAACATATGCAGGAGCCGGCAGGCCAGATGCCTAAAATATTCTGAAAACCAGTAATAGCCTTGGTGTTGTCCCCTGTTAAATATAAAACTTAAGTAACTCATTCTATTAAAACGCCTGCCTCTTATTTTTATCAGGTGATGTGACGGGGCCTGCTCCTGTGCCCGTCGCTAAGGCAACGCCGCTGTGCTCATATCGCCATATATTTTTCCTGAAGGCTAATTAGGCTGACAACTGCTGGGCCTTCTTGGTTTACCAGATTTGTACTCGACCCTTCTCTTGGGGCTTAGGGACCCCTACGGATGTGAAGTGATAGAGAACAGGGTAACAGGTGGAAGAGGCCTCTCTGTGGACCCCTCTTTCAAATAGTTGCCCAGCAGCCTCCAGGGCTGTCAGTCACTCTCTCTGCAGGAGCCAAGATTTAGTGTAGGTGGTAGCTCCACCTACCTTTCACATCCTCCCCACCGGGCACTCCCCTGGATGTTTGCTGTCTGATTAAGTCCAAACACGTCAGGAGCAACCACCGGAGAACCCGGAAAAGGCTCAGAAGAGCTTTCTAGGTGAAGATGGTGAAGAAAAAAACACAACCTACGTTTGTTTTTTTCTACGTTTTTAAAAACAGTTGCTTTGCTCAGCCCTTTGGGAGTCACCAGGTGGTAAAAGCAATGCATTTGCTTGGTGAGTCACGCAAAGGTTGGTGGTTTGAGTTCTTCCAAAAGCGCTCAGAAGAAAGCTCTGCTAATCGACTTCTGAAAACTCGGGCATGAAAGCCCCGCGGAGCTCCATTCTGTTGTGAGGCTCGGTGTGTGTGTGTGTGTGTGTGTGTGTGTG